GGGCCCGCCGAGAGTCGGGCGGAAGCTGAAGGCCGCCGGCAGGGAGGCCGACAAGATGTCCACCCGAGACTCCACAGAAAGTGTTCAAATCCTAACTGTTACGGTGTGAAGATGAAACCAAAGTTAACCGAAGAAGTGAGTCTCCGCGTTGCACCAGGAAAAGGTTTCCCAGAGGCAGAAATGGAGCGGGAGGAAAGTTCCTCTGCGATGTGACGTGAGAGAGGGTTTCTTTTCATTCTTAACGTAAAGCAAAATAAAACCGGTCAAAGGTCACAAAAAGTAAGATAAAGAAGAAACTTAATGATAACTGGGTACCGATTTATTAATAAGATTAGAAGTAAAAAAAGCTTCAAGGCTCCAAACCTACAAGGCGCAGTACGCAGGCGGGAGAGCCGCAGCCGGCGCTCACACAGCGCAGGCCTGAGACGGACACGGTGTTACACGTCAGGTGTATTCAGTCAAGAACTTTTTAATAAAGTCAAAGCTAAAATATTAGATGACCAAACTTTAAGCTTTTTGAAAAGGGTTATTTGCGTACTTTGAATTTTAACTATGAACTTAAGCCACTTAAAAAGGAAAAAGAGCAACTTTTGAAGGGAAGAAGCCTCCTGGGCAGCACTTCAGATCATGTTCTGTCAAGTCCTGTAAATACTACTGTCAAAGTAAATGCGCACAAACAATTCTGAAAAATGTTCATGATAACACTATTTAAAATCCAACAACACTGGAAATAGTTCAACTACCCCACAACCAAGGGGACAGAAGAGAGGTCCCCCTCCACAGCTATGGTTCTATTTCTTCCCCAAGTTGGAAAAACAGTAAGGCACTTTCCCATATAGGGTATCAGGTAGAGCGATTCAGTGATTCTCTTCCATTTTATCATTTCTAGCCTGTCTAGGTGTTAGTTCTTACAACAGTGTGGTTCTAACCTTGGAATATATTTTTGTTTGTTTTTAGAACATACCTCTTAAATAAGTGGCACATGAACTGTATCAACACATAAAAACTGACATCAAAATGAAAAAAGCAGAACCCAGAGTAAATGCATTTACAAAATAAGTGTAATGGGAAAAATATAAAGGATGGTTCAGAAAACAACATAACCTTAGAAATACAGGTGTTCATCAAGATTTCTTTCAAACTGCTGAAGCTCACAATTAAATTAACCAAAAATTTCTCTTGCATTAAATCAGGTAAGAAATAGCTCTTGAACATTACAATCAAAGTTAAACCCCGTATCATATTTTCACAAAAAAATAAGAACTGCAGTCCACTTCAACATTTACGTCAAGGTCCAACGCAGTGGGAAATGCATGCCCTTTACGTTTGTTAACATTATCACAAGAAATAAGTCCGCTTACCTCGTGTTCCGAAAAAAGTGCTTTCAACTGCCCCTTGGACCAATAATCCAAAGCATATGCCAAAAGCCGCATGGCGATCGTATTAATTCTCAAGAAATTTCCAACAAATACCACCTGGTTAATGTTCTGAGCACATCAAAAAAAGGCAATTAGTTTTCATCTTAACTTCTGTTCTCTCGTAAAAGCTACCCCAAACAGAGCACCATGTGCATGGTTTTTAGCAGCAACTTGACTGCTGAGCAAAAAATAAAAAAAGTATTTACATTTCATCCAGTTGGTCCAAGGCCACTTAAATTTGAACCCAGATAACTCTGGACCTACCCACTTCAAACCATGCCAGAAAATGTCACAAGAGAAAACAAATTAGGAAAACCATTTGTATTAAATATGACAAACAGTAACTGCTATTAAAGTAAAATTTATACAGAAAAGTAAAAAAAAAAAAGACCCCAATTCAAAGAAGGAAAGCGACACAAACAAGCAAATTATACAAGAAATATAATAGGAAAAAATTCAACCCCCAACAGCAGTCAAAGAAAGGAGCATTTTAAACCTATTAGAAGCAGAACTGAAATTCCACCCCCAACAATGAGCCAAGTTATGGTAACACTGATCCACTCATTCAGTGCTACAGAGATCTGAATCAGTACAACCCTTGTGAAAAGCGCCTTGGCAATACCTACCAAAGCTCCCAAGCACGGTCATATTCTTTAGAGGAGAAACCTCCCTCTAGAGTAAGTCCCTTATCAGGAATAAAATGCAACCAAAGAAAAGCTTCACACTTAAAAAATGCCTTCCTGCAGAGCAATCAGTGCCAAGCAACCAAATGCCCAGCTCCATGTGATTTATGATATAAAAACAAATCAAATATACAGCAGTGAAATTTTAAGTATTTAGGTAAAAAATATAACACGGTATGTACACCCACACCAACTAACAGATCTTAAAATTCGTAAGTACAGGAAGAGGAACATGCAATAAAGGAAACAGTAACTTTAACATATTCGAATGAAGAATGTTTTTAATTACTTGATGCTGATACAGTATCTTTTTAATTAAAAACGAGACAGTCTTTCTGTACCTTTCAAAGTCTCCTTTTGAAGCCACATGCCTACATCCTCTCTTTCACAGAGTAACTGTAAACACAACTGTGTGAGTGGGGACGCGCGGCAGAGCCGCACCCTCCAGGCCCCCCGGGAAGGCCGCTCTCGGTGCTTTCATAGCCCTGTACAATGCTGCTTGACCCGAATGCTACAAGGCAGCACTGTAAAGAAGCTGAAAGCACAAAGACAGCTCAGCGTTGGCGGGGAGGGCGGGCACTCCTGGGCCGCCGGGCCTCCTCCAGCTTCAGCGGCTTCCTCCAGAGGCCTTCCCAGCACTGCAGGGCTCCGCGGGGAGCACGGGACCTCTGGCCAGCTGCTATCCGTCACTGCCACCCACAGTCCCTGTCACCCGGGGTTCTGCCTGCCTTCCTGCCTTCCTACTTTCTCCCCGAAAGATGTACTTTTACTTCTAGATAGTGGCAATATTTATCTTCACTGGGGGGGGGGGAAACATCAGTGAAGAGGAGTCTACATCTGAAGAGCTTTAACTTCCCCAATGAAAAGAACTCCACCCCGCACAACTACACTGAGGCACCGTCCGGACAAGACAGACGTCGTACACCAGGCGAGGCCCCTTAGTACGTTCTGTATTTTCCTCAGAGCATCTAAAGAAATCCACGTCCCCTTACTTCATTCAGGGCACACATTCTTGCTATTGAGCCAATGTTGTTGGTGATGGTGATCAGTGTTGCTCTGGCGAGGTCCTCTTTACTGACTGCCTCTCGCTTCTCCTTGCTCATCATGTTTCCAAAGCTGTGAAGGGAAAGAAAATACCCAGCAGCTGAACCAAAGGCAACACAGCCCAGCAGAACTTAAATGTTACTCTACTGAGATAAATGTGACATTGTTCAAATCTTCAAACTTTTTATTACAAAATAACAGAGCATCTGCTCAAAGAGAAACAACTCGGAAGAAAGCCCTCAAGCGTTCCCAATAAGCAAATGCCTTTCCCGGCAGCTTCTACTGAAATCTAGCTTTGATAACAGATCTTCACACATCCAGTTAGGATCTCTCATCAGATCCACTCTAAGGCACCACTGCTCCTTCTGCAGCCAGGGACAATTCCAGAAAGACACCTCTACTGGCAATTCGATCCCAAGTGCACAGCCACTCGGCTCGGCTGAACGGCCACAGTCTGTCTGGGAAACCGCTCCGTCGGAGCAGAGCAAAAGCGCAGACAGTGGAGTCCCAGAGTAAACTCCTTAAGAGTTTCAGATTTCCCTAGAAGATAAAGTACTTCCAAGTACCTGACCAGCAGAACTGCTACATTAATAACTGTGAGCAGAACACAAACCCGATCAGAAATGGAAATGATTAATAATGCACAAATGCCGCAAACTCAGAATGTAGCATCGACAGCATTTACAAAGTCCCTGAAATTAGTCTGCAAGCATGTATATGTGTGGCCCTTTTTCTATGATTAAACAATCACAGAAAACAACTCTTTTTCTAAACAATCCGGAAAGGAAATTTAAAAAACAATCCCCGAGGTGCCTGGGCGGCTCAGTCGGTTGAGCATCTGCCTTCGGCTCATCAGCTCGTGATCTTGGGGTCCTGGGATCGCCCTGAGTTAGGCTCTCTGCTCAGCGGGGAGTCTGCTTCTCCCTCTTCCTCCCCCCCCCACCCCACTCATTCACGCCCTCTTTCTCAAATGAATAAAATCTTAAAAATAAAAAAAATTCCCTTTACAATAGCATCAAAGAGAAAATACTGAGAAATATATTTAACGAAAGAAGTGTAACAACTGTACACTGAAAACCACTACCATAAAACATAGGTAAAAGAAAAGCAAAACTCTAAATAAATGGAAAGACATTATATCTTAGATCAGAACACTTGATGATGTGAAGATGGCAACACTCCCCAACGTGAGCTACAAATTCAACACAACTCCTGTCCGAATCCCAGCGGCCTTTTTGCAGCCACCGACAAGGTTATCCTAAAATTCACCTGGAGATTCAAAGTACTGATTCATGCTACCACATGGATGAACCTTGAAAACATGCTAAGTGGAAAGAAGCCAGTCACCAAAATCTCATATTATAGGACACCATTTATATGAAGTGTCCAGAATAGGCAAATTTATAAAGACAGAAAATATATTAGTATTTACCAAGGACCAAGGTGGGGAAATGAGGAATGACAGCTAATGGACAGAAGGTTTCTTTCTGGGATAATGAAAATGTACTGAAATTACATTATGGTGATGACTCCACAATTTGGTAAATATACTAAAAACCACTAAATTTTACACTTTAAACAGGTGACTTTATAGTATGTAAATTATAGCTCAATAAAAGCTGTTTAAAAGGAAAAAGATACACCCAATACTTAATATCTTATTCCCATTTTTCTTAGAACACACACACCCCCTTACCTTGATGCCACAGCCCAGCCCGGCAGTCCAAACCTCTCATAGTCCCCTCCATAAATGTCTCGAACTAGTTTATCCACTTTGGTGCTATCTCCACGAGATGCCATTTGAAGAGCTTCTTCAAAAGTGGTACAGCCCGTAAGAAGACAGCAGAGACCAAAAAAAGTTCCTCCTCCAAGACTGATTAAAAACAAACAACACAGTATTACAACATTTTAAAAAATAAGAACAGGAAGGTAATATTTATGAACCCAAAACCACATTCATATATCAACCCACTCTTGCCCCAACCTAATCATGCAGACGTCTCTGGCAGGCAAGCCTGTGGAAAGATAAAAAACAAGGTACCTGATATATACCTTGATAGATACATATTCACATGAGCCAACAAGCGAAATGGCAAAACACAGGGCCCACGCCCCCGGCCCCACCCCCCGGCCCCCACGCCCCCAGTACAGTCTGAGCACCTGCTGAGTGTGAGGAGCCTGAGGTGCGGATCCGCCGGCCACACCCAGGCCATGCTAGCACCTCCCTCCCTTTGTCTCTCCAAACTCCTGGTCACCCTGGCTCATCAGCAACCCCACCCCACAAAGAACTCCTCCATTAATGTGTTTCTCCCCCCAAATTACCCATCTCATTTTTTAATTCACACCTGTTAAAAAAAAACCTGGTCTATCCCAATCCCCAGCTCCTTGTTCTGCCGCAAGTGATCCCTAATCCTTAAACCACAACACATTCATTCTTGCCTGCCACCCCTCCTCCCTCTTCAGCCTGCCCTCCCCTACTCAGTTTTCTGTTGCTCAGTACCTCACCTTCCAGATCTCAGACCATCCCGTGGGTGGGTGGGTACATGTGCGCACACACGCCTGCCTGTATAAAATCTAGGCCAGGGGCGCCTGGGTGGCTCAGTTGGTGAAGCATCTGCCTTTGGCTAAGGTCATGATCCTGAGATTGAGCCCCACACTGGGCTCCCTGCTCAGCCGGGAGTCTGCTTGTCTCTCTCTCTCCTCTGGCCCTCCCCACCGCTCGTTCCTTCCCTCAAATAAATAAAATCTTTAAAAATAAAATCTAGGCCGGTTTCAAAGCTGGGATCTTGCCTTGCCTTCTCCTTAGAGATGCTACCTAGTAGCTTTAACTTTGTGGTGTATGCACATCATACACTACCTAAGGGTAGGGACTAGGGTTTCAATGAGTCTGACAATGAGATATTTTACAGAACTATGAAAATGAAATCCTGAGCAATACAGATTAAAGGAAAGTAGGTCATGATACCAGAATTTTCAAAGAGAAACTATTTGTTTGCCTAATCCCAGAAGAAAATGTTTTTCACATAATTTAAAGAGATCCTTAAAAGTATACTTATATGCAATACCTGAAAACTCACTTTTAACCCATTAGGATATCAAGAATAAATAATAATCTTTATATAAAAGACCTACCTGGTACCCGTGACCCGCTTGTAATTATCTTTGGAATATACTGCTAAAATGCTAACCCCAGAGCCAATGTTCACCAGAAGCAGAGGGTATGGATTTTTCAAATCAAACGGTAACTTCTGACATTTTTCAGCATCAGCAGGGTTTTCAAAGTAATAGCACTGTGACCGTCCATTGAATCCAACTGAGTCAATGTATAAAATTCCTTTTACTAAACAATCTAGTTCATCAAGTTTGCAAAGCTGAAGGTCACCTATCTGTAATGAAATAAAAATGTATTCAGACTTAACAGGCTAAACAAATAAAAATTCCACTTAATAAGGCACTCCTCTCCATTCAACAAAGCACAGAAATGCTCACAGATGTGGATTATTTATGCATGATTCACAGAACAGACCTGGACACAACACATCGGGACAGACGGACGAGACAGACCCAACTCCACCCCACCTACAAACCGCCTTCATAGCCAGAGACTTATGCTGAGACCCAAGCAGAGAACGAGAGATCTACGCTCAGGGACTGGGAGTCAGGAGCCAGGTGAGATCACAGCCCGATCAGAAAGCTGACTCCAAGAAATTCAAGTGTCTCAAACACCTGGTGACACGTGGCAGGAGCCACAGGGACTCTAACGTCTCCCTTCCGAAAGACCATCTTCAAGACTATGAAGCAGTACCAAGGCAGGACACACTTTATTATTAATAAGCAGACATCAGAGGGCTGAAAAGTGTCCAAGTAGAAGGCAAGATTTTTTCACTATCTAAACCGATTACAGCCCCTGAAGGATGGGAAGATTTTAGCAGTTTCAAAACTTATGACTTCATTCCATTTAAATAATAAAGGAATGATTATTATTCATATTAGGGAGCATTATACAGCAATTAAGAGTGAAGAGGATCTTCAATTTTTTTTTTTTCCCCCCGAAGATTGTATTTATTTGACAGAGATAGAGAGAGCACAAGTAGGCAGAGCGGCAGGCAGAGGGAGAGGGAGAAGCAGACTCCCCGCCGAGCGGGGAACCCGACGCGGGACTCGATCCCAGCACCCTGGGATCATGACCCGAGCCGAAGGCAGACGTTTAACGACTGAGCCACCCAGGCCCCCGAGGACCTTCAATTTAGAACTGAAGTGGGAAGAACTCCAGGACATGTTGTCAAAAACGCAACTTGAGTAACATTTCATAAAGACCCTACCTGCCTGTTTCTAAAGCCAAGTTTATATGCACATGTAGGGGTCATCCAGAGTCACGTACAGAGAACTAGAAAGATATGTCAACTTCTAACAGTGGTGATTCTGGAGAGATGGCAGAAAGAAACTCCCACTTCACTCCCTGGGCTCCTAACCTACGTGAATGTTTACGAGCACGGACCCTCCGTATATGTGCAAAGGGAAAACTGCCTTGACCCGCTTAAAGCACTGATTTCTACTTACAACCAGGTCTAGCCCTGCAAGTTCGCCCCCTTTAATTCTACTCTCACTTGGTTACATTTACCGTCAATTTATTCAGATCCACAGCAGAGAGGGAAGTTAACAGGTACCTTCACCTTACTCCTTAATTAATCCCTAAGTAAGACTATGAAATTAGTCCTCTGACCGAACCCAAGCTCCTAGAGGATTCATCGCTGCTGCCACTGTACCTGCTCGTGCCCCGGCTGTCATGAATTCAAAACTGACTTCCTGACACGAGATCTCAAGTGCTGGCATTTCCACTTGGAACTTTTCATCACTTCCCACTCGTGGTCTGCGGGGGCCCAAGCCGTTGCTCGCCTTTTCCTTCCTGTAATTCCTGTCATCCTGAAGTGTCCTGCTAATTCCTAATGAATCCCCACCTCTAAATGGAGAATGACCGAATGCACAGCTAATTTCACTAAATGCAAGGTATTCATAATGTACATGCTGCACCAACAAGCAAACCCAGTATGTTCAGAAATCTGATTTGCATGAAAAAAGAAACAGGGTAAACTCAGTATTTTTAAAAATATTTCACTGTGGTTTATTAAATACTAGTCACTCCTAATGCACAAACAGCATTTGACGGGCATCTCATTTTCCTACAATTTTCAAGTACAGCACAGGTTGCATGCATATAGATGAGAAACCCCGACAGCCTAAGAACCAACTCCCGAGGTCTAAAATGCACTTTGCACCCTCCCCTTAAATTACCACACAATGCTGAACCTCTGGTAACAACCTGGATGATTTTCAAATATGTTCCAAAGGGCACCTCTACAGGGTCCCAGCAAAAAGATTTCTCTGTTACCTATCAATTATGATCCAGAGTCCACCATGCAGCTTCCGCAAAGGAGGGGACCGTCTCTCCTCCAGCTACACTTCCCCTTTACTCACGCGTGGAAGAGAAACCACTGAAAACCAACAACCAAAAGAAATTCAAGCAAAGAATATAGAAACTTGCTTAAAAAAATCAGGTCAATTATGGTCAGTGATAAGAGAAAGTCAGCAGACAGAAAACAGAGAAAGAGGATAAGGTCACAAACCATACAATGACACATGGAGGAAACACAGGTAAACTGACGAAGGCAAAGGCAGAATCTCTAGAATAACATTCTCATTAGTGACATTAAAAACAGGGTCACTGAAAGTATTTTCAATCTATACTGCCCCCTGAAGGTCCAGGTCCTGGCCAACTCACTTGTCCACTCTCCCACCTACCCCCCACCCCCACATCCACCGCAAAGGACCTAGCCTCGACTCTGCACAGTGTTGACCAAATGAAAACAAAAGCGGGTACCCACTGGCACTCCCCCAGTGTCCACACAGGATTCAGAGACTCCTATTACAAGAGCACAGCACGGTACGCACCAGAAGGCATTTGGGGAGAGAAGGCTCCGCTGTTAACCATTTCCAACCAGCCCTGAGACCAAAAAGCCACTGCTTTGGACCAGAGTTCCTTGTTTTTTTTAAATGGTAAACTTGCCAAGAAACAACAGAGGGGAACAGGAGAAATTATGTGGTAAACGAGATGAGAAACAATTTTATGACATGAAATGACATTTTCAAAAATTATTTTTTAAGATTTATTTATTTATTTATTTATTTATTTGAGAGAAGGAGAGAGAGAGAACAAGAGCAGGGGGCAGGAAGAGGGAGAAGCAGACTCCCCACTGAGCAGGGAGCCCGACTCGGGGCTCGATCCCAGGACCCCAGATCATGACCTGAGCCAAAGGCAGAAGCTTAACCAACTGAGCCACCCAGGCGCCCTATTATTTTTTTTAAGTAGGCTCCATGCCTAGCATGGGGCTCGAACTCACAACCCCAAGATCAGGAGTTGCATGCTCTTCCAACTGAGCCAGCCAGATGCCCCTCACTGTTCAAGATTTAATGACCTGTTCCTCATAGGTAATTCTTCAGTCTGCTTATCACAGCTTTGCTATTTTTTCAACACTAGAAGAACAACAAAATGCTATGGTGGTTGATCCTCATCAACTTATCTGAACTGGGCAAAAAGTAAACTCCACAACAATCTCTAGATGGCTAACTCCTGACTACCACTCACTTACATCTATCTAATCTTAATCGGACTCAAGAAAATTCAAGTTCTATTAGAAACAGAAATGATTCCACCACTTGCTATTGGTATTATTTTTAACAATCAGATTACCAGGACACCTGGGTGGCTCAGTGGTTGAGCGCCCGACTCTTGGTTCCTGCTCAGGTCATGATGTCATGGGTCATGGGTCATGGGTCGTGGGATCCAGTCCCATGTCAGGCTTTGTGCTCAGCTGGGAGTCTGCCTGAAGATTCTCCCTCTCCCTCTGCCGCCCTCCACACACGCTCACACACCCCACTTGCTCTCTCTCAAATAAATAAATCTTTAAAAAAAAATCAGATTACCATAAATTGTATATAAGCTAAAAAATACATACTGTGAGGAAATCCTGCTCAAATTTGTACGCTCCACCTCCAGTGGCACAAAAGACAGTGTGGAGGCTCGAGAAGTTTTTATCTCTGCCCATCTGAATGAAAGCAGGCATGTCATGAGTGGGAAAGCGTATAAAGTGCAGATTGCCCTTGCGTCCACACAGAGTCAGGTCCTTCAACTCCAGGTGCACATCCCGAATACCTGTGGACCCATAAGCCACATTGGAGGTCAGGTACTTCCGAATGCTTTTAAGACTTTCCACTTCTTCCTCTTCTTCTTCAGCAGTGATGTCTTTGGGTTCAAAATAAACCAGCTTGACCAGGGTTCCACCAATATCCAAGCCAAACCACGGAAAAACTAAATGGAGAAAGAAAAAAAAGTCCGAACAACTTTTTTCTGAAAACTAAACATATATATACTAGATTACCAACTTATTCATATCTTGAGGTTTCCAAGGACTATAAATACAAAAAGGGGTTTGGAAAAAGAAACAGGATTCTGATTTGGAAAAACATATTAAAAAAAAAAAATCAGAATACTGGGCCAACCCAACCCAACCCTACTGAACAGATAAGCCCAAACTATACTATGAAATATTAAAAAACAACAAAGTGACTACCCCTGAACCTCAACTCTGGGGGAAAAAAAAAGAAAGATTGAGAATGAAAATCTATATCCTTCCCCTTGGCTTAAATAAGAAATGTTGAGGGGCACCTGGGTGGCTCAGTCAGTTAAGCATCTGCCTTTGGCCCAAGTCATGATCTCAGGGTCCTGGGATCGAGTCCCACATTGGGCTCCCTGCTCAACGGGGAGCCTGCTTCTCCCTCTCCCTCTGCCACTCTCTCTCTGTCAAATAAATAAATAAAATTTTAAAAAAAGAAAAGAAAAGAAAGAAATATTGAGGGCTGCCTGGGTGGCTCAGTCGGTTAAGCATCTGCCTTCAGCTCAGGTCCTGATCCTAGGGTGCTGGGATCAAGCCCCAGGTCAGCAGGGAGTCTGCTTCTCCCACTTCCTCTGCCCCTCCCCCCGGCTTCTGTGTGCACGCTCTCTCTCCCCCTCACTCTCTCAAATAAATAAAATTTTTAAAAGAAAAAAGAAAAGGGTGCCTAGGTGGCTCAGTCGTTAAGCGTCTGCCTTCGGCTCAGGTCATGATCCTAGGGTCCTGGGATCGAGCCCCACATCGGGCTCCCTGCTCAGCGGGGAGCCTGCTTCTCCCTCTCCCTCTCCCCCTGCTTGTGTTCCAAAGAAAGAAAGAAAAAAGAAATAAAATCTTAAAAAAAAAGAAAAAGAAAAAAATGTTGCAACTTTTCAGAGCTCCAGTTTAGTATGCAAACTAGGGGTACAGGAAATTCCCAATCCATGTAAGATGTAAGCTCCAGTAGTCAATTTGTCCCTCAAAACCTGATGTCCCCAAAATAAAAGGTTTCAAAGGACTTTAATGGAACAGACATTTCAGAGTTATAGCTGTTCCCAAAAAATACTTCCAAAAAAATGGCTTCGGGAGATCAGATGAAGATGGGACTGCACAGACATGCATGACTTGCCCTCCCAGCTTAGATCACAGAAATGACTAAAGATAGAGGTTTACCGATATGTTATTTTCCATGATAGTTCTGGGAAACAAGAAATGATATGATCAGCAGAACTAGGTTGACAGAGGCAGTAACTGTCCAGAACCCTCAAAAGAAGAATTGTATAAAAACTGGGAGTAGCTATGAACATTGGGAGTATAGAGGTGCTCCATCAAGCTGTACATAGGGGTAGCTGCATGGGGAAACAGGAGCAGGCTCTGGTGGTCATGGGTGATCTGGTGGGGAATGAGTCTGGCGCAACTGGACAGACCAACCACTTAGCCCCCTCTGCCTATCCCGCCCCACCCCCCACTATCAGAAGCAAAGTCTTCACTAAACCAAGCACTTAAGCCAAAGAGTCAGGATGGCACCCAAGTAGCTACTATCACTCAGAAGAAATGAGGAGCCCCCACACCTGGCCATATATCCCTACAATCCATTCTGAGAGACTGGTAAAGAGACACTGCATCCACTGACAGAAGAGCAATCCTCAAAACAGAGATGAACACTTTACAAATTAGAATCACCAAAAGGGAGATCTATGCCACAAAAATGAGAAACTAAACATCTGAAGAAAGAACTGCAGGAACAAACAGGAGACTTAAAAATAATCACAGGGGCGCCTGTGTGGCTCAGTTGGTTAAGCGACTGCCTTCAGCTCAGGTCATGATCCTGGAGCCCCCGCATCAAGTCCCACATCCGGCCCCCTGCTCAGCAGGAAGTCTGCTTCTCCCTCTGACCCTCCCCCCTCTCATGTGCTCTCTCTCTCTCAAATAAATAAAATCTTAAAAAAAATAATAATCATAAATATCCTCAGAGGTAAAGTGAGATCTCATCCATGAAAAATAAATAAGCTACCGCAAGCAAAACTCAGAAATGAAGAAATGATTGCCACCTGTGGTTGTGACTGCAAGAATCTACATGTGATAAAATCATACAGAACTAAGTATGCATACACAAAGAGTTTATGTAAAACTGGTGAAATCTACGTCAAGTCTGTGAATTGTATCAATGTTAATTTCTTAGTGGGGGGGGGTGAAGCTTTCAAAAAAGGGGGGAAAGGGACAAACTACTTAACACAGATGAATCCAAAAATAGGCTGAGTAAAAGAAGCCTGCACAACAGGCTACATACTATAGGATTCCATTTATATGAAACCCTAGGAGATACAAAGCAATCATTTCTGCATCTGATAGGAATTATATTGTTGGCTCGGGAGGAAGGGAGGGAAGGACTGGACAGGGGCAGGAGAAAACTTTCTGTAGTAACCCAAATCTTGATTGCTGGAGGTGAGGGGAAAGCTTCATGGGTATATATATCTGTCAAAATGCATGGAATTGTACACTTTAAATAGGTGCAGTTGCTTGTGTGTAAATTATACCTCAATAAAGTTTTATAAAAGAAAAAAAGGAACAAATCCATTTCCAAAATAAAGCTCAACCAATATATTTAACAGCAAAATGGGCACAGAAAAAATAAATGGAAAACAAAAGTAAGAAATTCTCCCAAAATGCCTCTCAAGTATGAAGGAAAAGTAGATATATATATAGATATATGTATATCTATATATATATAGAAATACACAACTAGGAAGTCCAATATCTACCTTCTCTGAGTCCCAGAAATTTCCTGGGGGAGAAAGGGGAGGAAGACATAAATCATCAGGTTCACTAAGTGTTAAGCAGAACCAATTAGTGGAGAAAGGGCAGACTTAGACACACGCTATTGAAATGTCAAGAAATCCAAGGCACCTGGGTGGCTGAGCCGGCTAAGTGGCTGCCTTCTGCTCAGGTCATGATCAAGCCCCATGTCAGGCTCCCCACTCAGCAGGGAGTCTACTTATCCCTCTCCCTCTGCCCCTCCCCTTCTTGTTCTCTTGCTCTCTCTCTCAATTCAGTAAAGGGGCGCCTGGGTGGCTCAGTCGTTAAGCATCTGCCTTCAGCTCGGGTCATGATCCCAGGGTCCTGGGATCGAGCCCCGCGTCGGGCTCCCCGCTCTGTGCGGGAAGCCTGCTTCTCCCTCTCACACTCCCCCTACTTGTATTTCTCGCTCGCTCGCTCTCTCTCTGTCAAATAAATAAATAAAATCTTTAAAAAAAAAAAAATCCAGTAAAATCTTTTAAGAAAATTTTTTTAATAAATGTCAAGAAATCCTAAAGACTTCCAAAGATTGCATGGACATGGATGAACTGGAGGGGATTACGCTAAGTGAAATAAGTCAAGCAGACAAAGACAATTATCAGATGGTTTCACTCATATGTGGAACACAAGTAATAGTGCGGAGGACCACAGCGGAAGGGAGGGAAAACTGAATGGGAAGAAATCAGAGAAGGAGACAAACCATGAGAGACTCTGGACCCCAGGAACCAAAGTGAGGGTTACAGAAGGGAGGGGGTGGGGGGATGGGGTAAATGGGTGATAGGTGTTAAGGAGGGCACGTGTGGTGATGAGCACTGGGTGTTATACACAACTAATGAATCGTTGAACACTACATCAAAAACTAATGATGTACTATATGCTAACTGAACATAAAAAAAAAACACCTTTCAAAGAAAACAACTGAATTCCTACAAAGATACATAAATCACACAAAGGTGGAATTAGATTTTTCATCAGCGACATAGATGCTAGAAGACAATGGAGCACTGGCTTCCAAGTTATAAGGAAAATGATTTTGAAACATATCCAGCCAAATCAGCTTTCAAGGAGAAATGCAAAAGAAATTTTCACACATGAAAGAACTCAATGTTTACTACTCAAAAACCTCCTCTGAAATAATCAGTAAATGCATTCCAAAATAATTTAAAAAGCGTCCAAGAAGGTATGAGCGTTAAGAAACAATGATAAGTAGGGCGCCTGGGTGGCTCAGTTGGTTAAGCGACTGCCTTCGGCTCAGGTCATGATCCTGGAGTCCCAGGATCGAGTCCCGCATCAGGC